CTATAAATGCACTCCCTGTATAAATGCACACTTTTGTTTAGTCCCGAGGGGGGTGCATTTATAGAGAGTTGACTGTAAAAAACAAAAAGTTTACCAGCTTCATCCTCATTAGTAAATTTACATCCTGATTTAACATTGTTATAGTTAAAGAAAGAAAAAAAAATGACAATCATTTGGATAATTTGGATAATAATTATCGTTATTTATATGGAAGTAAAGCAGAACAAATTCCCACGATTTAAAGGCAAAATTAGTTAGAACCAGAAATGTATTCAATAACATGAGATCGCCGATCATTTTGCAAAAGAATTTTTTTTTTCGCCACGAACGAATAGCACAATTTTTTTTTTTATCATAACACGTGTAGATATCTTTTCAGAATGTTTTCAAAAAGGTCTCGGACATTATAGGCTGCACCGCAGTTCTGAAATCAGCCATTATTTATTTTTTTATAACAATATATAGATTTTGCGGACGGTGCCTCGAAAACTAGTATTATCTAATCAATGTGTGATTTTTCAAAGTTATCAAAGAAACGAAATATTCATCATTAGTTAGTGTAAATGACCGAATATCCGGTCAATAATTTTGTCCAATCGAACATCGTAATCAGTTGGTAATATCTGGATAATGTGATGATGGAATAAGTGATTCGGAACACTAGCTCCACGAAAACATGCGCCGATCAAAAAAGCTACAAATAAAAAAACAGACAGTCAATCGTGCAAAATAAATATTTTTACATATAACAACATCATCCAAATAACAGTCTATTTTTTTTTTTTTTTTTTTTTTTTTTTATAGATATTCAATTTTATTGAAAGCAAAAAAGTTGATGTCAAAAAAATTCTTTTTTTTTTAATTCTCACAGTAACGATTTTTTTTTTTTTAATAAAAAAAAAGTAATAACGTTTGAAATACAGAAATTTTTTTAAAAGGGAATGAATATGTAAAAGGTTTGCTATTGAAATAATGTTCGATCATATAATTTAACTATGTCTCGTAACTTGATTTAATAGCAAATGAGTAAACTTTATAATTAAATTGGAAACTATTCTTCCAAATTCACACACCTTTTTAAAACGGGTTGACATTTCTTCAAGTTACGCAAAGAATTTCGGTAAATAATAATTTTCTTCTTATTTTGGCATTTATCACGTGATATTATGGTCAATAATTTCTTGCATTTTCCCAAGCATTTGAGCATATCCTATTACGACCGGCCAACTGTGACAAAATCATCATACCGACCAGTTGACCGACCTATTTTGACCATTTTTTTTATTTAGTAAAACTAATAATTCTTGTATTTAAAATATACTTTTTTAAATTATAAATTTTAAGTTAAAATAAAAAAAAATTAAAGTCCGCGATAATATAATTGCTGGCTGGAAAACTTTCTCTCAGATTTCAACGGGATCAATATTTGGCAAAACCATCAAAACTCGAAACTATGATAAAGTATCGTCAAAAGTCAAACTATATTAACCAATCCATCGAATCGACTTTTGCTATTTGTTAAATAAGTTTTACCAGTTAACTATAGCTTTGCCAATAAATAATAATAAATAAATAAAAATTAAATTATCATATTTTTCTCAATTAAAAATTTCAAATACTGTAGAGTTATATTCTGTTAACCGGTCAATTTAAAATAGGTCAGTCAAATTTTCGGTCAAAAGACTTTGACCAACTGCTAACCGACCTTACCATCCCTAGGCGCATTAGTGATAAAAGTATTATGTATATCTAATTCGACGAAAAGAATGAAATTACTTTTTTCTTATACATTATCCGGACAACAATGTTAACAAAATTATGAATATATGAATTAATGATCCATGTTAAAATACAATTGTAAACAAATTTTAAATTGTTCTATACAAAAGATAAAAGTAAATATTTTGTGTTCATATATTAGGAAGAGCAAATAAGAAAAGTTTAGATGAAACATTTTATTATGGCCTTTAATGTCCCGGCCCATATTTTTATTAATTTATTATAATGTTCAACTTTATTCAATAATAACTTACTCTTTCGGTTTGCCGTAATAATTTTAATTACGAGTTTAAATTTCAATACAAAATCTAATTTCTTAATAATAAATAAGTTGCCAGAATTATAAATTACACTTTGAACCCGGGTCGAGTTCCGGCCCGGCCATCACCCTCAATTTAACTAAACATGACCTGTAATATTTATAGCATTGTAGTTGAATTTACCAAATATAACCATATCCATTATTCCAGTGATATTGTGTAGAAGAAATAGATGTTGCGAACAGGTGAGATAATGATAATCAAACGAGTCAATGTATAAGTAAATATCTTAATCATTTTTTACATCATTTTCCGTTTCTTCTATAAAGATTATAGATGCCTGCCGAAACCTCCTCAAAATAATTTCGTCATACCCTTTTCTATGTTTTTAATATAGTTTCGACAGTTTCGGCTTTCGTCGTATCGAATGGGTTTCGTCGTATCTCTTATTATGATTTTTAATATAGTTTCGTCTAAGTTTCGACTGTTATTAAGGGGTTTCGTCCCTCATCTATAATAAAGATAGAAAATTAACAAAAAACCACCGATAATAATAATTCTCAATATAAAAGAGAAACAATTTTAAAATTTTAAAATATATGATATAACGGATTTTCATATGATTTATATGAAATCCGGTATATCAAAATTTTTTTCTCGATTTGCTTCAGGATTAAGTTAAAATAGATCTCGCTGTCATTTGATATTTTTTTTTTTTAGATAATTTTTTTTTATATTTTATTTTTGCGACCATATTGTAAGGTCAGTTCTTTTAAATGAGCGACATTAATTAGAAATATTGAGTGATTATTTTAGACGTTTGACCAATTACAGCTACGTTTGCGTCTAAAATCATTTAATTACACCAACCCATTAGCTTAATGAAATACAGTTTTTGCAGATTTAAATTCAAAAATATTTATATTTTTAATATAACAAATAATTATAAAGATAGCGTACTTCAAGAATATATTTTAGCGCTTTCATCTGTATATTTTTTATTATGGTCCAAATTTATTTCCTTTTTTATGCTCTATTTTTTTGAACTGCTTCGGTTATTCTTTATTTTATTTTATTTTGTGGGCTCGGTCCTGCTAAGATCGGTATTAGACCGGTTAATGGGACCGGTTCTTGCTCTGAGAACCAGTCCGGATTAACCTTAAGCTAATTCTATCGACATAAAATTCATTGGTAAAATTTTTTTTTAAATTTTTTTAAATTCCTTTTTTAGATGATATCTTGTAGTCGATTTCTTTTGAGTTGAATCACATCGGTGAATTTGATTTTTTTTTTTGCGCAGTTACTGAATGATTATTTATTTTGTTCGGAGTTAAGTTCCTCTTTTGAGATGGTTCGTTTCCAAATGATTTAACAGTGGGGCTGGCGATGTTTAATTATTCCTCTGGCTTTCAGGTTATATTGAAATCACATAAAATGGGCGGAAGAAACAAATTTACTATTCATAAATATATTTTAATGGTCGAGGAAAGATATTTCATATTATTCCATTTTAATTGCAAAGTTTCCTATATCATTTAGATCTCATCATGTGTATTGAGGTGATAATTTCGAATATATCTATTTCTTTAATAAAGACTCGTTATCGAATTTAGCTTTTTAATGCGAAAATCAAATACACATTAATAGGATTCTAATTAATTTAAAGATGTTTACATCACGGTAGTGCCGATGATGATGATGATATCTATGGTGATGCTACTAGTGTCGGTATTACTGCTACTGCAACTGATGGTTATAACGTTGCTTACTATTGCTGATGATGACATTGATAATGTGTTTCTGGTTTGCTGGTTATCAGTAAGGACGCTTCTATACTGTGATCCGCCTGGTTGATTGATTTTTTGATTGATTTCCTTGTTTGTAATTAAAACCCAACGATGAAGTTAGAATCAAAAAAAATCAATAATTTCTCTTAAATATGCTTATTTTCAACCAAATAGAATAAATATTGTAAATAAATTATCTATTTTTCGTTGATTTCTACACTTGTTGCTTTCTTAAGAGTATACCATATAAAGCATGTTTCATAAAAGTTTATTAACATTGCCATAATTCTTCATTTTTATAAATAGAACGAGAATAGTCGTTTCCAAACATAAAAACAAGTTATATTAATTCGCCACCATAGTTCAGAATGGTTAAAAAATAAAATGGGTGTTTCATTGTTAAATAAACGAAATATTGTTATAAAAAAATATAAGCCTAAATTTCGCGTAATTTCAAATAAATGATTTAATTTTGTTCGAGGTAATAAACGATAGAACTTGCTTACCATTTTTAAATTGCGGATCATCAAAAAAAAATAAAAATGTTATTATTGTCCCATGTTCTCTTCAAGATGATCATAAAGCTCTATTTAAATATATAAGAGAATATTGGCTAAATCCGGGAAATCTTAAGAAACTGAACTGGTCTTTCTTTTAAAGAAAGTATAAACGATCTTTGAAAAATTACCTAATGCAGCTAAAGGACAATGTGATATGCTAAAACTGCTAGAAAAAGATGATTTTGGGTTGTCACCTAATGAAGTATGGATTATTAACTTATCAGGAATATCGAGCAGCATGTATATTTGCTGATAAAACTAAAAATTAAAATAAAATCTTAATATTGACCGAAAATTGAAATATTTTAACGGTTATAGATTTCCATAATCGCATGTTAACCGTTTTAAACGGTTAATTAGCCAGATAAAAATCAACCGGTTCCAACTATTAAATTACAACTTAAGTAATCAGATGAGGTCACAACACATGATTTGAACGAGTAAAAATAAAATGTTAGTAAAGTTAGAGGTAGTAATACTGTCGAGAGGAAAAACCTGAATTAGAAACTAGATTAAGCTACAAGTTTTTTTTAGTTAAAGTAGTAGATTTTCTGATCTGATCAAACGTTTTATAACGATCAATTAAAAAAGATATGCAAAAAATATACGCTGATTTAATTAAAGAAAAAGTAAGAGGTGGAACAATTGTGTCAACTGGTGTAGGTATATGATTTTAACCGCATGTTTCTAGCTTAAGAGTAATTGCAGCAATTCTTTTAGGATTTAATACAAATTGGTTTTGATAGTTGGATTGACCACCTTTGGTTTAAGTGTTATGTTCCGGTTCATATTTATGGAAAATGGCGTTAAAATGATAGATGTGCCTGGAATTCTTGAAAAACTCAATCATATAATGAAGAAGCGCAGATCATCAACAACATCATCTTCGTATGGCTTAACTGCTGTTACCTGTCAAAATACTATCGATTAACTTAGTACTAATAATTCTTTATAAACTCAACAGAACTTGATTCCTAACACATAATTTGACAGACATTTGACAATCATTTCTTTGATGGTTTAATTTACTAAGTTATTTTAAATAATTATTACAATACATATAAATTATGAGAAATGTAATAGTTTATGAAATCAAAATTCATTATTTTATATGAACCCTTGGTTTTAGAGAAGAGATAAAAACCACGCGGATCAGTACATAGATATTTATAAAATTTAATACTAAATACTAAGTTATTAAAGTTAAGTCTGTGTCAAAATCCGAGCTTGGTAAACAGAATGTTTCACATGATCGTTCTATATAAAAATTATGTTTATTAAAATATTTTATTTTACCGTATTGATTTCTCTCTTTTTTTTTATAAAAAAAAAAAAAAAAAAAAAAAAAAATAAGGCCATTGAGATATTTAAAAGATTTATTGTGCACGATTGACTGGATAGCAAGTTACTTATTCAGAATCGCTTAATTTATTTACTCAGACATAAATGATAACAAATAATTAAAGATTTCGCAATATCCAATTTTTACTTTGTAATATTTAATTATAGGGCTTAAAGATAGAAAGATAAACTTAACATTAATATTTTAACTATAAATTTGTAATTCTTTATTAAATTAATCAAAGAAATACTGAAATTTAACGTAAACTAACTAATTTCGAAACTTAACAATCATGCCAATTAATTATATTTTATAACTTATACTTAATGAAATAGAAACTTTATCAAAATAACTTAATAACATTATTTATGGCTGGATACTTTCGCCCTGTTCTCATCTATACCATGGAAGTTTAAACTTTATGACAAATACCATCATTCGTCTTAACCTACCTATTCTTTATCCAACAGAAACTCCTGAATAGATGCCATAATTCGGTTTTTTTTTAAATATTCGGACATTCTCCATTTGCGGTTTCGAATTTTTGAATAACAACTTTCACGATATAATTACAAAGGATTTATTTTCAATTTAATTGCAATAAAATATTCATAATACTTAAGAATTTCAAAAGAATTATGTGTAATAATTCTTTAACGGGGAGCTGTGGATATTAATGATTTTTACAGCCGTGAAAATCATGATGTTTCCATTGTGCCTCCGTGAAATAAGTTTGATTAATATACTTACGTGAATACTTTCGAACTAGTTGCGTGAAAAGTCGATTATTTTAATACGCTTATTTAGTGAGAGTTGTAGCGTTCACTACCAACTCCACAACCTTCACAATTAGAACAATGATAATTACGGATAAAAGTGGCTACGATCGAATCGATAAAGTAAATAGAAAAAATCGAAATATTTAGCAGCATTTCAGAAAGTAATGAATTTGAAAACATTCTTATGAAAATTATTTATTTTACAAATTGGTAATTATTTAAATTTTATTCTTTACCACACGTAGTCCTATAACCAATAAAATGCGATAATATACCTACGTTATGAGGGAATATTCTAAATTCCTAACCTAAATGCGCTAAAGGCTAAGTTATATTTGTTATTGCAAAGAGAGTTAATTCAAAAAAAACCTAGACCGTGGGACAAATTACTCGGACTCGTTCAAAAAAAAGAAGAAATAAATCAACTATATACTAGAAATTTTTCAACGCATCGCTCTTATGCTAAATAGAAACCTAAAGTAAAGGTTCAGACTAATTTCGCTTTAAGTCCTACTAGTTTTGTCCAAATCATAACTTGAAGTTTAGTAAAATATATTTTTTTTTATATTAAAAATTCTTTAAGGGTTGGAATAGCATAAGTTTCAAGGATTTCACGATAGGCTTTACCAGTAACAGAACCAATTAAAGGAATAATGAGTCCGAGACCAAATCATGAAAAAAGCTCCAAAACATTCGTTTGGGACTGTGTTTTACGGTCGAGACGATACAATCCTCATTAAATTCTTCATCAGATTTTCGCCAAACTCGACCCAACCTGTTTTAAAGTGAGAAAAGGTAGATTCATCTGACCAAACTACTTTCTCCAGTCAACCATTGTCCAATTTTTATGCTTTTCCGCGAAAGCAATTCTCTTGACTTTATTTGCAGAAGAAATTAATGGTTTTGGACGAGGCATGCATGATCGAATGCCTTCTATCCTTAAGGCTTTTTGGATGGTTCGCTTGGATACTTGCTCACCTTTATTATGTTTTGAAAAAAGCTGGCAAACTTCTTTTAAACTATGACGGCTAGAATCTTTATTATTAAGAACAGCTTTTGCCAACTTTTTCCGTTTTTGCACAGTCATTATTTAGGGACGACCTGATCGTTTATTAATAGTTTGATTGTTTTTTAAATCTCGAGAACTGTTGCCTGAGAACACTCAGAAATTTCTGCAGTTTTTTCTTGCGTAATACAAAGTTTGTGACGTGCAAAAATTGCACCTCTTTGCTACGAAGTAATCTCTTTTGCAAGCACATTTTTTTGCGAAAATTGCGAAAATTCCGATAATTTTTAAAAATTTTAAATCAAAATAGACAAAAATCAATCGCGGTTTCAATAAAAAGAAATCTATTTTGATTAAAAAGCATTATAAATTACCATAATTAACTTTATTAAATCAATAGTATATAAAAATTAATTAAATAAAGCTTAGCGAAAAAATTATTCAATATATGTGGACACGACACGATAAAGGTTTGAAAGAATTTTTATTCAATTATAGGATTTAGAAAGTATTTTCTCATGACTCGTCTACTACACTCTTCAATTAAGTCGGTCTTTTGAGGTATGATTAGTTCCAAATACTAACTTTACTTAGCGAAAGTAACTAAGAATAATAACTAAAAATAATCTAAAAACTTTGTACGATAAAACGATTATAGAAACAAAATATAATACAATCATTCTAGCATACATATTTAATATGCCATTCATAATTGAAATAATATTTATTTTTGATATTTTGACATTTTTGACATTTTTTGATATTTCTCCGCAGTATCAGCGCAATGCGTAACTTACACTGATTAATAGCCGGTAAAATATCCTTTAGCTGTCAATTAACCGATTTTAACTTAACAGTCCGGCGGGCAGAGCTGACGAAATTTTTTGAAGTCACTAAAATAAAATTCTGGTAGTAAAATTAAATTACGGCCAGTGTTAAAATTATTAATTTTAACCAGTTAAAAATCTTAATCGAATAATTAACTGGCTGGTTAATTAACAACCTTCATATGAAATATTAAATTATTATTAATAAAAATTAAAATCATCAAGTGTGGAGGAAAGATTTATTTTCGTATTCGCAGTTTTTTAAAGTATACGATACGAAGAGTAAGCGTCTCTCATGGTTTGAGAAAGAAGTAATTTTTAAGTGCGAGAAGAAATTGAGTGCAACTTGTAAGTATGGAAAGTCAGGTTCTGAGAATTTTATAACAAAATTTTTGATTTTTATTGCATTTTAGTTTTTGATATTATTAGATCTTAGTTTAGTTAAAAATTCTCAGAACTGATTTTCTTAGCTAACTTCCTATATTAACGAATTTTATTTTAAAAAATGAAAAATGAACTAAGAAATTTTTTAGAATGTTAGTGACTTATAAATCCGCAGATGTTTATAATGCATAAATCAAAATATAACACAACGCTTAACTTGTGTTGACCATCGGTTATTATTATTTTCGCCAGAAAAAATATATAAAATTTGAAATGTAACACCATCTCCCAATTTGATAATATGTTTCTATTAAAATAGTTTTTAAAAACTATCCGAATTCAATACGTGCACTAATCATTTTACTAAATTTTGATATTATGGAACAAAAAAATTTACAAAATTCATAACAATTGAATGAGTCGATCGCGTTACACGAGTTTTTTAGCATCTATTTAAACATGGGACTACTATTTACATACCTAATTCTCGATCAACAAAAGATCGTCGATATGAATAAGGATAAATTATATCATGGGTATTCTTTGATCGTGTCTACTTGAATTAATGTTAGCCAAACCAGCTTATTTGCTTTGTAAAATAAAGTTTCTGACGCAGCAATCCAACTTTAAGAAATTTTATTACTAATTCATCCTACCAAATAACATACACTCCCCTGAAGAAAGTATCCGGGCACGGCTTTTTGCGAATTGTAGCTTAATTATATTATGTTTTTAAA